CCCCGTGCAGGTAAAGGGTTTTTCCAGCTCTGCTCCCCAACCCTGGCTGCTGGCACATCCAGCTGGACACCGCCAGGGAGCTGCTGCCAGACCAACAAGGCTCACAGCAAATAACACACACGGATGGAGACAGTCCCTGGTAAACTCTTCTGATATCCCACCTCCCCTGGGACCCTGTAACCCCCTGGTCTGACAGCCCCCGGCCAAAGCTCCAGTGGGCTGCGGGGGGTGTCTCCGTACCTCTGTCGCTGAGCCGCTTGGCAAGGAGGGCAATGAGTGTCCCCGAGAGCACGATGCCGGCTACTGCCAGCGCCGTGCCGCTGCTGTAAGCCAGGACTTGCTTTAAGAAGGGGGCACCATCCTCTGAAACAGACCCGCAGACCCACAGGTTAGAAAGTTAGGAGGATTTCACAGCAGCCGAGCTGCTGGGGTGCCCCCCACCACGTTCAAGGTGTGCTGCAGGAAGCTGGACCCCCCCAGGGCTAGGGGAGCGGGGGGTCCCACCATACCTGCACAGACAGGGGGGTGCCTGGTCCAGTTCCCGGTGGCTGCACACCGGAGCACCTCTGCTCCCATACGGACAAACCCCTCCTCGCAGGAAAAGGTGCAGGTGGAGTTGTAGGTGAAGTTCCCATGCACGTGAGAGCAGCTCAGCTGGCCTCTGCTGGGGGGGGGCAGCGCAGGGCAGCTGATGACTGGAGATAAAGCACAGCGGTGGCATCAGCAGGACAAGATGGGATGGGGACATGTGGGCTGGGAGCCAGGGGATGAGCTGCCATGCACTGGCGGTGCTCAGGGGAAGGAAGGCTGCTGCAGCAGAGCACTTCCAAACACGTGTGTGATCACCAGATCTACCTTTGCATCGCGGGGTGTCCCCAGTCCATGTCCCTATGGCCGTGCACTCACGGCTCTCCGGCCCCGTCAGCACAAACCCCATCTGGCAGGAGAAGGCACATGTGGAGCCGAAGGCAAAGTCCCCATGGAGGTGGGAGCAGGCAGCCTGCCCCATCTTGGGGGTGGGCAATGCTGAGCACTTGATGGCTGCAAGGGTAAAGGCACAGACTTCAAAAAAGAGCCTGGGAGACTACAATCTGGGACCAGGAGGCTGGGGAACATCCTCGTGTCACCCCAACACCAATGACACCCTGAGCTCTAGCAGCAGCTCTACCTTCACAGTGTGGGGCATCCCCAGTCCACGTCCCCGTGGCCATGCACTCGCGGCTCTCAGACCCCACCAGTGCAAACCCCGTCTGGCAGGAGAAGACACACGTGGAGCCGAAGGTGAAGTCCCCGTGGAGGTGGGAGCAGTTCAGCTCTCCTCGCTCTGGAGCGCTGAGCACTGGGCAGGTGATGGCTGCAGGGATAGAAATAGATTTCAAACAGGAGACTGAGGACTGCAAGGCTAAACTGTTGGAATGAAAGGACCAAGACACTGGAGAACATCCCAGGGTCAACTCTAAGGTCTGTGACACCTTGAGCAGCAGCTCTACCTTCACAGCGTGGGACATCCCCAGTCCATGTCCCCATGGCTGTGCACTTGCGGCTCTCCGACCCCATCAGCACAAACCCCATCTGGCAGGAGAAGGCACATGTGGAGCCGAAGGCAAAGTCCCCATGGAGGTGGGAGCAGGCAGCCTGCCCCATCTGGGGCAGGAGACAGCTGCAAGGCCAAGAAAGACACTTTAAGCAGAAGCTTGGAGACTGGGAGGCTAAACTGTGGGGACCAAGAGGCTGGGGTGACACTAGGGCGTTCCCCAAGATCCGTTGACACCCTGAGCTCTAGCAGCAGCTCTACCTTCACAGTGTGGGGCATCCCCAGTCCATGTCCCCGTGGCCGTGCACTTGTGGCTCTCCGACCCCATCAGCACAAACCCCATCTGGCAGGAGAAGACACACATGGAGCCGAAGGCAAAGTCCCCATGGAGGTGCAGTTCAGCTCTCCTCGCTCTGGAGCACTGAGCACTGGGCAGGTGTTGGCTGCAGGGATAGAAATAGATTTCAAACAGGAGCCTGGGGACTACAAGGCTAAACTGCTAGGATGAGGGGACCAAGACACCCAATAAAATCCCAGGGTTGTCCCAAGGCTTGTGGCACCTTGAGCAGCAGCTCTACCTTCACAGTGTGGCGCATCCCCAGTCCATGTCCCCATGGCTGTGCACTCGCGGCTCTCCAGCCCCTTC